AGTGTGATCATTATATTCAAATGCTTAATTTAAACTAAAAATCAGATTTCATAAACAAAAATCTATTTAATATAAAGTTAAAAGAATTCCTATCAACTTGTATCTTGCTTTTTGCATGTGATTCGTTGAAAAACAAAATTTCTTTATGGAATCTATTATCCAAAAGCATCATTAATTTTGCCTCAGGTATCTAAAAAGATATTAAGTCTCTATATTTAATATTCTAGATCAGTTCTTCATGGAATTCTACCTAATCCAATTAGGCAAGCTGTATAACTTCATAAGAAGGACATGACTTTCTTTTATCAAGTATAACTCTTTGAATTGAGTTCCTAAAACAATAGGACATTTTCTTAAAAGAGATTGAAATATGAATGATAATTTTCTTCACAAAACTTATTTATATCCAATAAAATCAACTGTACAGTGATTTCTTTCATAGTACAAGCACTAAAATTTTAATCTTATTGTATAATTGTATTTGGGTTTGCTTGCTCATATCTAATATCTCATCAAACAGAATCAATTAAAAACAAGTGAGATGGCAAGCAAAATCCTTAAAATTAGTAGATGTTTAGCGCTGATGCTTACATGCAATCAATAGGTAAAATTGATTTTTCGCACTGGATATCTTCTTGCCCTTATGGTAAGAGCAAATTTATCAAAAGGAAACATTAAGCCATCTTTGATTCTTTGTAAAAAATAGTTTTATCGCTAGGAATCATCTAAGTTAGAAATTAAAAATAAAGTACTCAGCAGTCTAGGAAGCATAAACTTAAGTATTATATCTGCTATAATCTTAAAGTATTTTATAACCACGCTATGTTGTCTATCAAAGACTATTGTTGATTTTTGAAGAGTTTCGTTTTATTTCTTGGACAAGAGGGACATATAGAAGTGAAAACAGAAGAGTCCAGCATTATAAATTTTGGAGCGGTTCTTTTGCCATTTGTACTTTCTTTTATAAAGTTTCCTAATCGCATTAGGGTTTGACTCTCTCTGACCAAGTATAATTCTTGATCTGACAAGCCATTAAATTTCTTTATATAAAAAGATCAATAATATCAATAAAAATTTCTTAAAATTAAGAATTTTCGAAATCAAAAGTAAAACTAATTTTTTATTAATAATTATACATTTAAATATTAATTTTGTGCTTAATTAATTTATAATTATCTCATATTAAAGATGAATTTAATAATTATATTCATCTCTTTGATAACTATTATAATTGTTGATGTATATATTCAGATTCTCTTGATCTTTGTAGGAAATCAGCAAAATAAAACTCTTTAGCTTGGGATTTCATTCTTAATCTGAATATTGCTAAAATTTTTGATTCAATAATTTTAGTGAATCAGCATAAAATAATTATGAGTTTTTAATCTCAAAGGAATAATAGAAAGAGCTTTGTTATAGTACAATAATGCTTCCTACCGTTGTTTTAACCTATGTAGCGCAATCCCTATTTTAAGGACAATTTAATTTTTATTTTGTTAACGCATCATAATTATTAGATAATTAAACCTATTATATAGGCTAAAATAATCCCCTACCATTAATAAGTATTTTCATCTTCATCAAGTAATCTGATTGATTCTTCAAAATTAATCAAAGCCTCATTAAATTTACCTTTAAAGAATAATTGTTTTGCTTCTTCTTTCAAACAGTTCAATTACACTTCGGTCAAATAGTTAAATTCTTTTGTATTGAAATTCGGTTTAATTGTTACAAGATCTTTTATAGTATTTAGAACTTGATTCAATTCTATTATGTTAATTCATTGGAATTGATCAAATTAATACCTATCATTTAATTTTTTTTTGAGTAATATTGTTTCAATACGTTGAATTATTACCGAAAAGGCACAAATAGGTAATGTTAAGATCTAGCGTCAGATTCTCTATTTATTCTAAACAATTCTTTATTTGATTGAAGGCTTGTTAGAATTTCTTATATGATTAATAGCCAAATTTTATGAATTGTTCGATATCTGTTTACATTTTACCAAATTCACTACAATCATCTGAATGAATCTAAATTAAGCATTAAGAGCAAAATACGTTTTTTATAGCAATCCTCATTGAAACAGACTCCTAGTATATCTTCAGTTTGATGATTGAGATTTTTGCACATAAGGGGTTTCATTGTAATCAAAAACAAAAATTAATAAGATTTAATATATTCATTATGAATTTGGTTTTGTCTAGTATAATCACAGGTTTATGAAAGGAATCTCATTTCAGATTTCGGGATAATATTGCTTAAATTCTTAAGTTTGGCTTGATGAACTTAATTTAGATATAATAAGTTTTCTTCTATAATAAAATAAAAAGGCTCAAAATTTGATGTTCTTAATAATCATATATTTGGTTTATTCAACATCTACTTAAATTGTTATAAAAACTATCAGATTGTACCAGAATTAATTAGATCATTTATTTGATTATCATAATTTTACCATCATCCATATAAATATAAGATATTGCTTGTGATATGGAAACAGCCTTCCATAGAATATTTTTGAGTAATGAGCTAAATTAAAAGAGACTGCATTATCTCTTTTTGAAAAATTTAGTTCTCTCAAGATCTTGAAACAAAAAGAATTATTAAAACAAAAGTAGCTCCATATTATTTGAAAATATATCATATTCCTTTCCACCATGTTTAAGGACTCTCAAATAATTTAAATCGGCAATTATTTTAAGATTCCTCCCCAATACACCCAGCCATACTAACATAAGTTAACCCCACCAAAATTATAATATTCACCATCAAAATTCAATCACTAATATTGTTGAATAATTAGCAAATAGGTTGTATTAATTTAAGTTTGTCTTAGGTGTCTCTAATTTTACATGTTAACGATAAGTAAGGCCGTATAATAAATAATTGCAAATTAATAAACAACTATATTATTTTGATTTCCGAAAAGTTGTAGAATTAAAAATAAGGTTTTCTTTAAAATATTAATTGAAAAAAAATTAAGGAGGGAATTAATTTAAAGTAACTTTTTAATAATATAAGCATCATTTTTAATAAACATCATTATATATATTTATCCTTCAGTTTTATACGTAGTAAAGTTATCAAATGACTTACTTTAAACTAATTTCTAGTAAACTTAATTTTTTAATCAAAGCATCAATGGATTATTCTATTATTACAAGTCTCTCTTGAAAATATTCTACTAACTTTTATATTTTTTATTAATTCTTTTCATATTAAGTTGATATGAAATTAAAATTTAATTTACAAAAATACAATATCACAAAGTCCAGATATTATGTTAAGGAAATCTATAAATAGAAGAATAAATCTTTTAAACTGCTTTTATATTAATTATACAAAAAGTTACAAATTATTTGCAGATTCACATGCACTTTTAATTTAGTTGTAGTCGTTTTCTAATGACATCAATTGATTATCCTTTCATTCAAAATAAATGTTTAATAATTTTTTACAGAATTTGTTAATTTTTATAATGAATCTATATATTAAGTATTAAATATTTCTTATTATGACTTCTATTTAATAATTAACAAATAGTTGATTAAGTTCTTTTCTATTTCTAAGGAAGTTCATTCGAATCAATCTGAAAATAAACTACTTTAAAATTACTTGCATATTTCATTTATATTTTTTTACAAAAGGTCAATATTATTTATTTATCATGCCAATTGCATTTTTCTTTTTTACGATTAAACTTGTTTTAGCACAAACTGGTTTCTTCAAAATGGAACTACAAATAAACCTAAATAATTATTATCGCATGGTAGATCAGAAAAATTCTCAATTTCTTCTATTTAAAGGGAAAATATAATAGTAATTAATTTATATTTTTTTATTGTTAATAAATTTTAATTTAATAGAATTCAGAATGTTTAAAACCTGAAGTAAGAAATTATGATTTATTAAAAAACCATAAAAATGAATTCATCAGCAATTTAAAATTTAGAGGGCCAAACAATGATATGCCAATTTCATAACAACTAAATAATAATTTCTATAAACCTTAACTCAACAATAACTGGAGATGTTACACACATGTGTAATAAATGTTTAGTTGATAAGACAAATGATAATAATATATTAACAATCATGGAAGCAAAAGAATAAATAACATCATATAAGAAATAATAGTAACAAAAAAGGGCGAATGAAATTGAAATAATTCTAACATAATTGTAGAACCTGTTTGAAAACCTAGAGTAGTTTAAATTTAAGGTTAATACTGTTTTGTAGAAAATCTAAAATGAATTGTCACAATTAATTAAGTTTAAATCACAAGAATTATCTCTATCTGAAAATTGTTGAACTTAATCGAATTTCTGGGAGGATGTTAAATTATTATATGGATTTGTTTCGAAACCAGAAGATTAAATGGAATTGTAATAAATGGATGAAATGTAGAATTAGTTTTAGCAAATTTCAGTTGATATAGAGTACCTGTAAACTATAGAAGCTTTTAAAACTGCTAAAAAGATAATAACTAACTTTAAGACAGAGAATTAAATTCAATTGGAGTCACCAAAAATTGAAAATAATACAGTAAATTTTATATAAATTTAGAAAACATTTAGTTTAAGTACACTTTGTAAAGATCATAAAAAGGAAGTAATTTTGATTGATATTGATTCGGAGAATATATAAACAGAAAAAAGATTAGCTTGCGTTCAATGTATAAGTAATGGGAGTTCAAAAAATTGAAAACCGTCGAAGACATAGATGAGTTATGGAATAAAAAAAAGCAAAAGGTACATTAAGATAAATTTCTAATCAATAAAAGTCAAAGATATAAATTAAATAAAAGAAGTTAAATGAATAAATTGCCTAAATTAGTACGAATTACTATTAGTAATTAAATCTAATTACTCAAACAGATAAAATAAAACCACAATACAATAATTAAGTTATGAAGAATTGCTTTAAGTTATTAATGATTTTGCTCAAAAAGACAAAGAAACGGTTACTACGGATGAGAATATGATAACTAAGGATGTTGAAAATAAATTAGAAAAAATAAAACAAGATTTCTAATTAGACATTTAAAAGTCGATCAATGTTTTAAATGATTAATCAAGTATTAAGATTTTGATTATTAGCTGATAGCCAAATCTTAGTAATTAAAGAACAATTACAAAAAATTCAAGCGAATTCAAATGTTCAATTAGAACAATAGATAAGAATACAGGAGTTAGATGAATTGATAAGGTCTTCAACACAATTATATTGTTAGATGGAATTGTTAAATTAGACTAAAAATTAATTTTAACAACATGTGAAAAAACTTAACTCTATAAAAGACTAAATAGCATCATTTTCAAATCATTAGAATTTGACCTTCATAAATTAAGAACTTGAGAATTACCTTGATAAATTCCAAAAAGATTTTCAAAATTTGAAGAAATATTGCGAAATGGACTAATTTAATGAGTCCATACAATTAAAGGACGATTATATTGTCAATAAATGGAAAGTCTAATTAGAATCAAAAAGAATAAGAAGTCGAAGGTTTAATAACAGTTATCGTACTAGACGGAGGTTTATTAGTGATTGAAATTATTAAGAGCTTTATGCGCCCTAATTTGAATTAAATATTATTTACAATTAATTCAATTTTATTAAAAGTGATATCCTTTTTACTAATACAAATCTCTTTGATAAGTATTCAGAATATTTCTTTTTTCATTATTTTTTCGTGATTTAATAATATCCCAAAAGATATCTTAAGATTTATTAGAATAAATAGCTTAAGAAATTATAATCACTGAAAATATGAGAAAAAGTAATTCTGAATTCAATAAGCTAAATGAGCTAATAGCAATTTATTGTTGAAAGTATCATACAATCTTCATAAGTTTGAGACTTCTCAAATCAGAGCATTTTGATACACAATAGAGTAATTAGTCTTTTAAAAGAAGAATATATAATAAGTTATTCTGTCTTTTATTTTTTGCACAAAAAAAATTGAATTAATAGAATAGTGTTATGATATACCCTTCCGTATACAGTTAATAAACACCTTGGAAGACCTAGACTACAGGATTCTATTTGAACCTAAAATGGGTGGGGGCATTTGGATAAAGGGATGAATGACTTCTCAATAAATACAAATAGCATTTGTCTATTTATAGGATAGTTTAGGAATGAAGGGGGTTTAAGCTAAAGAGGAAGCAGTAATGAGAAGAATTCCTGATTGTTAGATAAGCTGACGTAAAGACAACTTATCAGTCTTGGAGAAGAAATAAAGGGCCTACTTTTAATCAATGAATAGGCCACAGAACCTGAAGGAATATATCTTAATTCAATTGACAAAAAGAGATTAAAAGATTATGTTTGATGAATACTATACAGCTAATAACGATTTATCAGCTACAGAAAGATGAGAATGGTCTAGTTTTTGGAAGGTCATTAGATAATTTATTAATCATGAAGGGACCTTGAAAAAGTATAATTTCCAAAAGACAGGCAATAAAACAATAGGGAAAGACTTAGGAGAAGTTACCTAAACAGCATAAAGACTAAGTGCCATCAATCTAGTGTTTACCTCTCTTGACAGCTTTTTGTCTGAAAGTTCTCAAGTTGAAATCAATTATATTAGAATTATTGCTAGCTTTTATTGGTATGAATATAGTAGAGTAGCTATTAAGGATTTGTACAATTGTAATCTGTAATTGATTTTTAAACAGGAGTTTTATATATATATTACTAGGGTGCTATTATTATATTTATAAAGAATAATAATCACAATACTTCATAATAAACTGAAAATTATCATACTTGCTGAATTGCGTTTGCAAAATCTTCTAAACATCTAAAAATAGTTTAACTTAAACGATCAATCTGTTAAAATGTGTGAATAATTTAAAATGATTTATGTAGCTAAAAATGCTTAAGACTTATTTATTTATGTTGATATTAATGGATTTGAAGTTTAATAAGTCGGCCTAGAAGAGTGCAGAATAACTAGGAAATGCTTCAGTAAATGCTACTTAAGTAATTTGAAAGGAACGAAATCAAAAAAGCTATGCAAAGAAAAAGTTCAAAGAATAATGATGCTAAGCTTTATTTATTAAGGAGATTTTCATAATTAAATTGGAAAAACCAATATTAAGATTATTTAAACTTAGTAGAAGGATAATGAGATTGTATTAGAGCTGAATTCCGTTTGCTTTTGAAAGCATAAATTATATTTATTTAATATAAAAACAAGAAAGGAGAAATATATTTAATTTAATGTCCTCTTGGAAACAAGTCATATCTACCATAATATGACGCTATTCAAGAATACAGATCTCACTTGATATGGTAATACTTTATGAAAAAAATTTAGAGCTGATGTTGATGAAGCATTAGAGTAAAAGAATTGTATTAATCGTAAATTTCTTAATGCGGTTTAAAATGGCTGCTTGATTTAATGGAAAGCAAAAGAATTAGATAAATTTTGGATTGCTGAAAGAATTTTTAAAGGTGAATTTGTAATATATAACAAATAATTATGGCTATATTAATGAACATCTTACAGAATTAAATAAATTAGATTAACCTTTCTCATATTCTACATTCTTTATAAGTAAAAGATTAAATATGATAAATGATGTTTAAGGAGTTGGCATAAATTTTACTGATCCTGCTGTGAATACAAACACAACTAAAGTTTATTGATATTATTAAGTGATTTGATGATATTGATTTAGGATAAGTAGGATAAGATATGTTTCTAGTAAATTTTCAATGCAAAATTGGATTAGCATCTGAAATTTTAGAACTTTTAAATTTGCTAAATGAATATTGAATTAATAAATTCATCACCAATATTTATCAAAGGGTGATTCTATTTATTAAAATATTTATGTGAATTAGTAATTAAAAATTTATATTTTATTTATTTTCAATCAGACTAATCATTCTGAATTAACTTTGTATTTATGGAAGCATTAAATTCCTTCGATTCTTTGATATTTTTTCTTAAATTTAATTTATTGAGGATTTAATGGCAGGATTTTTATAAATTATTTAACATAATAAATTTTGTAAAATATTCCTGATGCCCTATAAAAAATTCTTATTAATTTACTTCAATTAACTTTAAGAATTTTAAATATTCTGAAACAACGTTTTATAAAATACATTTAATATAAACTAGGTAATTATATATATAAGCTATGTAATTAATAAAATTAATTAAATTAAGTTCAGTTAACTTTTAATAATTGTATTCAAAATTCCTCGATGTGATTGCAGTAGCAATTCAGTTCACTATAAGGGAATTCAAGATATTTTCTTACATATTTCTATATAAAGTGGCCACATTCAAAGAGTTTATATTCTTACCTCTGATAACCTATAAATATGGATGCGGTAATCATTACATACCTTAGTTTTCTAAAACTAACTAAATATATACTATTTCAGCAGAGAATTCCTCTAGATAAGAAGTAAAATGAAAAGTGAGAATGTAAAACCTCCTTTTTAGAAGTTTACTATTGATAATCTCTGGTTAAATTATTTTTTTTTTGTCGAATTATGAATTTATGATATTATCGCACAGAAGAATTTATATGCATCTTTAGGACTATAAATAAAATAAACTCCCAATCAATGTTTCATGATAAGTTGCTAAACTGCAATTACTAATTAATACATGTTTTTGTGTAGCTTTTGGGCAATATTATTGTCAGTGGCTATTACTTTATGATTATACTTACGGGTTATAAAGTATAACTCCTTAATTTCTCAAAATAGTATATCATCCATCCAAAAGTAAATATGCTATTAGTAAAATCTATAATTGCTTGAATGATAAGTAAGTCTAATGAAGCCAGCTCTAGATCATGGCTTCAATCCTAATCTGTCGTCACGGTGGTTTCGGTTATCAAGTTGCTTCTTTGTAGCAAGACTTGAGCTATGTTTGGTTTCCACAGGCAAAGGGTAGTTAGCATTGAGTGCTTAGTAGAAGCATGACTTATTATGATTATTGCTTTCTGATGTTACATGAATGCCACTACTAAATTATCCAATAAGTGTGTAAAACAAATAAATGGCAGCGCTTGATCGCCAGATCATACACTAAGTATAAGTTCAGACGGTAACCTGCAAATTATATTGATAAGCTAAAACAACAAAGAATTTCATGATACCTAGTCTCCATGCAACTTTAATAATTGAATATCTTTATGTTAGAAGTAAATGGAAATGCTATAATTTCTACGTTATGTGTTATTGGCTAAATCGAAGAAATCTGTTTGACAACAGGCGATCCATCCTGCAATTGATCTCATGATATCTTAATTTCCAAATCTTTGCTTATGTCTTACTTCTTCACTAGCATGCTAATCTTGTTTATGTTAATTGTATTTATGCCTCCGTTTCTTCAAATGTAACTTGTGATGCATGTATTACACCCTTTTGTCATACATTTTCTAAGCTCCTTATTTTCAGATTCAACCAAATTAATTATATAGTCTTTAATAAGATTTAATCCTCTAAACTCATTTTATCAATGCTCATAGCCGATTCAATATATTTATATTACCCCCTGTTTTAAGAGCAGATACTTTGAAGTATTCTGCAGATATTTTATTATGAAGCATATTAATATATTATTTTTTACTGAATCTCAACAATGATTCCGAGAAATTCATCACTGATCATTGACTTTTATCATTTACTATTTGAGACTTACAATTGTCATAAAACAAAATATAATTGAACTAGTTTTTCACCATAATTGAAGAAATTTAGGTATACGATATCTGGAAAATGAAGAAAATGTATATATTATCAACTCAAATCAAAATTTACATAAGTAAGTTATAATTATAAGCACTTCTACATAATTGAGTATTTTCATTACAGGCTTTAATAATTTGCTTTTAGTTTTGGAAAATAGATTAATATTGTTAACCAAATTCAGAATTGAAATAATGATGATAAATAGTATGAGGATTTACATCAGGGAAACATCAACCTATTTACAGGTTGAAATTTATTATGATTTAAACAAATTTGTAATTTAGGAATGTAAAATAAATTCGACTTGATAAAATTTGTAATTCAAAATTTTGCACTTAGAAATAAGAAATGGAAATGTGGTTCACATTTTAAATAAATTCGATCTTGTTTTATGTATCAACCATTATCATTTATATTAATTATATAGTATCATCTTAAAAAGCATAAATGTCAGAAAGGACTTAATCCTAAGAATCATATTTATTAAATAATTTTTATCATTTTATTATTAAAGAATAATTTAATAGAATTAGAATAATGAAAGTAAAATAGTTCGAAACTGTATTCAAAAAATTAGAGATGAAGTAGATGTATTAATTTAATATTGTATTCATTTTAAGTATTCTTTTGTTAAAATCAATAATTTGATTGACTAAATATTCATTAGTGATTGTCCAATTTCTAAAATTAATAATCCTAAATTTGAATGTTCTTTGCCAAAACTTGATTAATTCGATTTCATAGGTTAATCCATCTTTTAATCAAACATTCTTTAATAACTTAAACCATTAATCAACTCAACAATCAAACATCAAATTTAATTATAATCAAATTAATAACATTCAAATTAATCATAACAATAATAGATAATATCAATTCAATCTCCATCCTCTTAATTTCATTCAAAACCATTTGTTTATTAAATAATTCAACATAATTCAATTAAGTAAGACTAAGATTCTCGTGTAATTGCAATTAATAAAGATAGTTCAATTTTAGCAGTTGGTTGTTATAATAAAAAAAAATATATGAATTCAAATAAGGAATCATGAAACAAATACAAATCTTAAATCAACATAAAAATAATGTATCGACTATAAATTTCATGAATAAATCAAATTAGTTAATATCTGGAGATAATGGTGGATCAATTGTAATTTGGTCAAGGTATAACAGTAATTAATGGAATTCCTCATAAATAATTAAAGGACATAGTAATTATATTCATTGTTTAATTTTGAATATTAATGAAGATCTTTTTATCTCTAGTAGTGGTGATAAAACAATTAAGTTTTGGATTATACAGAATGAATGGATTTGTTAATAGACAATCACTGATCATACTAGTTATGTTTGTTAATTAAGTTTAAATGAATAACAAGATAAACTTATTTCTTGTGGAGGTGATAAGACAATATTAGTATTTGAATATTCGGAATAAAATAAAAGGTGGATTGTCATATAAAATATAAAAGTAGATTAACACGGTTATCGATTATGCTTTATCAACAATGATTAATTCACATTTCAGCCTTATAATGGCAATTTGATGGATGTCTATGAGAGTAAATAGTTCACTATAACAAAACATATTACTATAAATTAAGGTCCTGATAGTTGGCATTTATTTCCATAATAATTTTTTAATTAAAAATAGATATTAGTGAATAAACATGAGAAATGTATCAATTTAATAAGAAAGACAGAAAATAATGAATTTAAACTTGAGTAATCTATTCAATTCAATAATAATTGTTTATTTGGGTAATTGAGTGATGATGGACAGTATTTATATGCTTACATTCTTCTACTAAATATTACTGAAGTTAGAAAGGAATTTTATTTGATTATCTATCAGAAATTCAGTTCAAACAATAGGTGATAACTAACAATTAAACAAACTCTGTAAAAATGCTCTAAATTTTAACACCTCATTATCATTCCAAGCACAATTTTTTTCATTTAATAATGCACTTTCAAATATTCCTCATGAAAAAGAATCTATAGCTATAAAATAGCTCAGTGCCTCCTAAAATTTATTGATAGGATGTTTCTGCCTAAGTCGATCAACTATCTAAATGACAAAATAATGATAACCAAAAAGATTTAAGAAAAACAGTTTTTTTTAGGTATTATTATTAGAAAAAATTATTATTAATAGAGCCTTTTCATCAGGAAAAAAATTAAACATTCATGTGATACTAACTACCAAAGTCTTTTAATAAAACTACAAATATATTCAATAATTAGTTAAAGGCCAAAAACTTGATTTTATTCAATTTTCTTGAATTTCCTTTAAATTTAAAACAAAAATATAACTTTTGCTTAGGTAGAAGTTTTTGGTTTTAAATCCAGGAATCCTTATACACCAATCTAAATTTTTATAGAGTCTAATAGTATAAGGTTGAAAACATATTTTAATTACTAATATCAGGCATTTACTCAAGAAATTAAGCAGATCCAAGTAATTTAAGATGAAAGTATTGAAAGTTGTTTGATTAAATTGAAAACACTCTTAAAAATTACAAAAGATGAAATTTTAGTGTGAAGCTTTTATGAGCTTACCTTGAAAAGTGTAATATTTCGACATATGGTTATGGCGTGGATAATATGATGGTTTTTATCAACCCCCTGATATAAGTAATTGATCTTGGATATTATTCTATTAGCACAATCAAAAGGTTAATAGAAATCTCCGTGTAAAATGGTTCAATCCATTTCTCACCTATCTAATTAGATGTTTCTTATGAGAGGAACAATCATATTATTGCAGTTATCACTAGTGCTCATAAGTTTATATATCAAAAATTAGTTAAGGACTACATGAAATGATGTATCTAACTTGAGAATGAACTGGGCTTGAAAATTTCCGAAATTCTTTCATGTTGTTTAAGATGACTTTCTTCTATAAAGAATCGTTCGTTTTGCTGCTTCCTTTCTAGTGACTATTCGATTTCTTTTTGAATGATATTGCTTTAATTATTTGTCTTTTAGAACTGTTAGCCCTTTTAAGATTTTAGAGAGTATATTCAAATAAGATATGATATATTCATAAAATATTTACAATTGCAAAAACAATATGGCACCATTTTATCAAATTCTTAGGTACTGCCAAATATAAGAATAGTGTGTCTAATTTATTTTTGGATGCTTACCAATTAGAAATAATCGGGTACCAACAAAAGAAAGCGACTTTCCTCCGTAATACGACTTATGTTCCCTTTTCTATTAATCATCACTTCAAGAAATTAAAAGTTCTTTACTCTTTCATTTCATTTCCTATCATATCTCATCCTTTTTTATCCAAATCCACTCGAGCTAACATACTTAGATTTTCCATAAATTAACCTTAAAAGTCTTTGCTTCTAAAAAAAACTTGACACATTCACATATGAAGAAATTACGACATCATTCACACAAGCAAGAATCTTACGCGAATAAACAGAGTGCAATATTTGTCCAAACATCTATCTTCCAATCATAAGCTATTCTAATATGGTGGGCATTTTCAAAAAGTAAGTTGAAATAGAGCCTTGGTTGGCATTATAATTAAAAGTAGACTTTTGCCCACTTATTCTCAAGATAGATTTACATCCAATCATAATTTTTTCTCAATTGGTTTGTACATTGTTACAAGAGCTGCCGGTAAACCCCTTATTGGATGTATAATTTTGCAAACCTGCAGGCAGTCCTGAAACTTATATTTAGTTATATAGGTATAAATGTGTATCTTGAGATAGATGCATAAAAATTTGGGCCGAAAACTCTAGCCCTGACTGAACAGTACCTTAAAACTTCTCTATAAAATTGTGCAAATTAA